TGTACGCAGGCCTCTCACTGTTGTGGCCTCTCCCGTTGTGGAGCACAGGCTCCGGACGCGCAGGCTCAGCGGCCATGGCTCACGGGCCTAGCCGCTCCGCAGCATGTGGGATCTTCCCAGACCGGGGCACGAACCCATGACCCCTGCATCAGCAGGCGGACTCTCAACCACTGAGCCACCAGGGAAGCCCGAGCACAGAGGACTTTTAAGGCAGTGAAAATCCTGTGTATTATAATGATGGACACATGTCATTATACATTCGTCCAAATCCACAGAATGTACAACACCAAGAGTGAACCCTAAGGTAAACTACGGACTTTGGGTGATTATGATGTGTCAATGTAGGTTCATCTTCAGTAAAAAAAAAAAAAAAAAATGTACCACTCTGGTGAGTGATACTAATGGGGGAGGCTATGCAGGCATTGAAGCAGGGGGTATATGGGAAATCTCTGTACCCTCCTCTTGATTTTTATTATGAACCTAAAACTGCTCTAAAAAAATAAGTCTTAAAGATTCTATGGGGACTTCCCTGGCGGTCCAGTGGTTAAGACTCCACGCTTACACTGCAGCGGGGCGTGGGTTCCATCCTTGGTCAGGGAACTAAGATCCCACATGCCACACAGCACAGCCAAAAAAAAAAAGATTCCATAAATTTTACATCGATATTTAAAATTCAAATCATAGAAAAACATATAAATATCAAGAAACAGGTTAAAGGTAGCATTTCAAAGATACATGCATAGCTTTTTAGCCTAATCCAATAATTAGTTCAGTGGTACCTAACCAATGAGATGATGAAGAGGAAATAGGAACATGAAACACAGATACTCACTTGCTTTTTCTTCAAGTCTCTGAAGGCAGCAAAATCATCAGGGGAGTCAGAAGGAACACTTGTGACCACACCAGTACCTTATAAAAGAAAATGTAGAATTAACTAATATAACAAGAATGTGTTTCGCAAAGAATTTCTAGAAAGAAATAAACTCTTTACCTTTATCCTCCTTGATGGTGAGCATTGGGAGAACATAGATCACCTTATAGGATGTTAAAGGCGCAGAAAGTGACGCACCAAGAATATCCTATGTAAGAAAAAGATCAGCATAAAACAGAAGTAACTTATTCTAATCATTAAAATTTAAAACAATGTTAACATTTTAAGCCCTGAGAAGCTAATAATCAACAACACTCATTCTTTTATACCTACTAGACTAAAAATAATTGAAAATAATTATAATACCCAAATATTGCAAGGTTGTGAGGAAATTAGTACACTTATACATTGCTTGAGGAAAACAATATAGGAATCCAACTTGGACCCAGCAATCCAATCCTAGGAATTTACCTCACAGGAAAAAGAATTATTTTTTCTTTGAGAATCTCCCCAATGCTGTGTTAACTACGTTAGCAAAACCTGGAAACTAAAACTTTAAATGATAAAAAAATCACTTAATAAAATATGAAACATCAACAAGATAGAATATTGTATCTCTATTTTAAATGATAATTAGGAAGACAAACTGAACTAAAAAGATGTATCTTAAAAGAAAAAATCAGAAGGTCGGATAATATTGGACCCATATTCTCATATATCAACAAAAAGCTTGCGGGGCTTCCCCGGCAGTCCAGTGGTTAAGACTCCACGCTTCCAATGCAGGGAGCTCAGGTTCAATCCCTGGTCAGGGAACTAAGACCCCACATGCCGCTCGGCACAGCCAAAAAAACAAAACAAAACAAAACAAAACACACAAACAGCTTGCAGCTGCTTGTTTACCTAAGGAATGCACTTTTCAATTCCATATAGTTCCCACCCTTCCACTTTATTCATATACATAAGCTGCTTACGGAATTTACAGTCATATAGGATAAAGGCTAAATATCATAATAGCCTTAAAGGTTGAAAGCTATTTTTAAATTTATACCACCCATTTTCCTCATTCCAGAATCTGTTCAAATTAACATGGAAAAAAGCTGCATTTAAGAACAGGAAAAAAATGGTGTCATTAATACTGTTCCTAAAAACTTCTCAGACAGAACTCTAACATCAGGAACTAATAAGATGTAACAGCACTGCTTATAACAGAAGAAACAATTCAACTACCCATTATAGAGAATCATTAAACAATTTGTGGCACGGCCAAACAACAGAATGCTGTGTAACAGTAAAAAATAAGAACAAAGGGAATTCCTTGGAGGTCCAGTGGTTAGGACTCTGTGCTTTCATGCCAAGGGCCCAGGTTCAATTCCTGGTCAGGGAACTAAGATCCCTTAAGCTGCATGGCACAACCCAAAAGAAAAGAGAGAACAAGAAAGATGTTTACCTACTGATAAAATAATTACCAAGTTATAGTTAAGTAAAAAAGAAAGTAAAACACAGACAATGTGATAAAATACATTGCCATTTGTGTGTAAAAAAGAGGGCAAAAGTATATATATATACGTATTTGCTTGTATACACATGAAATACTTCTGGAAGGATACACAAGACAGTGATTTTCCTGACTGCCTATGGAAGGGAGAATTGAGTGACTGGACATTTTTTTTTTCATTTTTTTTTTTTTTTTTTTTTTTTTTTTGCTGCTCTGCATAGCTTGCGGGATCTTAGTTCCCCAACCAGGGATTGAACCTGTGCCCTCGTCAGTGAAACCATGGAGTCCTAACCACTGGACTGCCAGGGAATTCCCTCTTTTCGTCTTGAATTTTGAGTCTTATGAATATTTAGTAATCTAGTCAAAAAATAAGTTTACAAAATAAGTAAGAAATAAACTCTCCAATTCAAAAGGAGAATTGAGATGGTATTCTACTCATCCTTTTCTTTTAAAAGATTATTTATTAAGATACCAACGATCAGCATTTACCAAAGGGAATAAAACACACTCAAAAATACCGATAAGTAAATAAACTCTAAGGATAAGAGCTATGTAACCATCTAGATTTAGTTAAGGTCAACCAAGACTTCCTTTTCAGAAAAAAAGCGGCTGCAATTCCGCTCCAGGAATGCAGGTAATCATATTAAAAAAGTAATATAGTGTCTACCACAGCTATTAAATCTCTCGGGGAGGACTGTCTGTATTTTCCAACCAGATAGTTACTGAGTTGCAATGTAAGATTCAAAAATACTATTTTACTGATATGGTCACACAATGAACACGCCACAGCAATAAAAAAAAAAAAAAAAAACTACTCCTACACACAACATGGAAAAAGTATAGTCTGTACTTTTTTGTGTTTAGCTTCTTTTAGCCAAAGAAGCTAAACACAAAAAAGTACAGACTATACAATTCCACTGTGTAAAGTTCAAGAAGAGCAACTAATCTTTGGTGACTGAAGTCATGGCAGCAGTCACCTCTGCAGGAGCAGGCTGAGCAGTGACATGAAATGGACATGACAGCACCTTCTGCCGTGCTGGAACTGTTCTATACCTTGATTTGGGTGGTGCTTACATGACTGTATACACATTTGAAAACACACCAAAAATATACACATTTATGACTTAACACATTCGACTGTAACGCATACCTCAATTAAAAGGTTTTTTAAAATGTTTTCTCAAGCTTCATTTTTGACATTTTCCTCTAAATTCATGCACTAAAATAAAGTCTGCTACCCAACTTACCTCTCCCATTAACTCTTTAACAACAGGCACCACTCCGTTGTCCTTGGTAAAGCCCTGGTATGACATATTCCTTGCGGCTCTTTGGGTGCAGATGAATATATCTCCATTCACTGTCTCAAATCCAATGTACTTCATATGAGGGCAAACCCAACAGTTTGTCTGTCCAAACATGGTCTCAGGTCTGAGAGTAGCAGCTACCAAGAAGATATTTTTCCCTTTCAAGCCACTAAGAAGAAAAAATATACATTTATGCAAAAAACATTATGGATTCCATCACAACTATCTGATATTTCAAAAAGATGAAGCAACAATTCTTCTACCTATTAAGGTAGGTAGCAAACCTACCTTAATTTGGATGGGTATGGCTCAAGCACTTTCAACTTGATTAAAGTATATTCCTGAGGTCCAACACCCTAAACAAAATAAAACAAAAATTCAAGGGAGAAAGAAAGGCTTGGATTACACCTACTAGTCTGTGTGAGAGATCTGATTCAAATTTCTAAGATGGGTTCCTGCATTGTTAGAATAATTCTTTCTTCCAATGAAGAGACTGCCAGTGGTGTGCTGACCACATGGAAGCCTAATGTGTAAAAATGACTTGAAGACCACCGTCCCACCCCACACCAGACCAAAACCGATCAAGGAGGCCCAGACTGTACTAAGTAAGATTTGCTAAGAGCTCCCTTGAGAGGGAAGAACAGAAGGAAAAAAAAAATGAAGTGACTTGGATTAATCAGCCAAAATAGTGTTTGCCAAAATGGGAGTTAGAAGATACAACCAACATCAATCCTACAGAGCAGTCATCACAGACATACACTGGACCAGGGGTCAGATGATGTGCATTCAAAACCTAGCTTGGGCCCTCACTTATGGCTTGACCCAAGGAGTCACAATCACTCTGAGCCTTCATTTCCTCATCTGTAAAATAACTGTGCTGTGCCTCATACAGGACTGTCCTGAGGAAAACCTAAGATAATGATAGGAAAATGCTGTGAAAAACTATGATGTACTATTGAAATTTAGGATACTGCTACCACTGACTATATTAAAACTTAGCATAGTAAACTGGGCCTCTGAAGGCCCTCAAATCTTTCAAAATTTTGATTAACGCTCATTTCTGTCAAATAAGTTACATCATAATTGAAGGATGATTTTGAAAGGTAGTTGCTAGACTACAAATGTGTTCAAAGGTGGTAACAAAGAATGACACACTCATAGAGACTGCAAAGTTCAGATCCTGGCATTGCTGCTGATTTACTGTGCCAAGGCTTTAGGCAAATGACTTACCCTTACTTCATTCAAGTATTACAAGGAATAACGTCACTAATGTGTCCTACAGGAATGTAGAATGAACTGATGTCATGCATGGCTGGAAGTACTTTGGAAATAAGTAAGTAGGCATGTGACCAAAGCAAGTATAAATGGAATCTGTGTACATCAGTTAACCACGTATCTCATTACCTTTCCTCATGCTCTCCTTTTAGGGCAGTGCACTCTCCAAGCAGTTCTTCTCAAACATTAGCAGGCATATGAATCACACTGAGAGCACATTAAGACAGGTTCCTAGGCCCCATCCCCAGAGCTTCTGATTCAGCAATTTGGGGGTGAGGTTCAAGAATCTGCTTTTCTAGGATTTCCCTGGCAGTCCAGTGGTTAGGATTCTGCGCTTTCTCTACCAAGTGCCTGGGTTCGATCCCTGGTCGGGGAATCCCACAAGCCAGGCACAGCAGCCAAAGAAACAAAACAAAAACAAAAAACAGACGAACAAACAAAAATGTGCTTTTCTAACACAAGCTGATGTAGCTGAACCTAGTGCTACTCTTGGAGTAGCAAGGTCCCTGACAAGATACAGGTACCTATGATGACATTCTGCCTCTGGCTTAACAGCCACAAGAGTATCATGACTATACACCTCAGCACTGAAATAAAGTGATTTTTAGATTTCTAATCTATTTCTTAAACTCTATGCCCACATTAAGAATTATTACAATAGGGACTTCCCTGGTGGCACAGTGGTTAAGAATCCGCCAGCCAATGAAGGGGACACAGGTTCAAGCCCTGCTCCAGGAAGATCCCACATGCCGCAGAGCAACTAAGCCCATGTGCCACAACTACTGAACCCGCGTGTCAAACTACTGAAGCCTGAGCGCCTAGAGCTGGCACACCTAGGGCCCATGCTCCGCAACAAAGAGAAGCCATCGCAATGAGAAGCCTGAACACCACAACAAAGAGTAGCATCCACTCGCCGCAATTAGAGAAAAGCCCACATGCAGCAACGAATACCCAACACAGCCAAAAATAATCAAACAAGTAAATTTATTAAAAAAAAGAATTATTACAATAGCTACTCTATGGCACAAATAATTACCTCTCCAGTTTGTCTGTCATGATCCATACAAGGCTGTCCATCTTTTGGAGAATAAATGGTATACCTAAAAAATAAATAAGTGACAAATATTATTATAACGTACAAGTTTTATCCTAACATATTTGCCAGTGTTGCACCTAACCATCACAATATTTCTTCTAACTAAAACTTCTAACTGAGCAAATGTCTACATCATTTTTATGCTTTTATGGCGAGTTCTACTGCCAACATAGTTATTTAATGAAAGCTTTCTGCCTTCATCAAAGGTAATACCACTGAAAAATATCTACTGATCTTGGCTTTATGGTATGAAACAGAAGACTGTAAAATATAAATTTGCCTTTAAAATGAAAATAGCATAAGGCAGACAGCAGAAGAAGAAGTACAGTCCTGCAGCCTGTGGAACAAAAACCATATTCACAGAAAGACAGACAAGATGAAAAGGCAGAGGGCTATGTACCAGATGAAGGAACAAGATAAAACCCCAGAAAAACAACTAAATGAAGTGGAGATAGGCAACCTTCCAGAAAGAGAATTCAGAAAAATGACAGTGAAGATGATCCAGGACCTCGGAAAAAGAATGGAGGCAAAGATCGAGACGATGCAAGAAATGTTTAAAAAAGACCTAGAAGAATTAAAGAACAAACAAACAGAGATGAACAATACAATAAATGAAATGAAAACTACACTAGAAGGAATCAACAGCAGAATAACTGAGGCAAAACGGATAAGTGACCTGGAAGACAGAATGGTGGAATTCACTATTGCGGAACAGAATAAAGAAAAAAGAATGAAAAGAAATGAAGACAGCCTAAGAGACCCTGAGATAACATTAAACACAACAACATTCGCATTATAGGGATCCCAGAAGGAGAAGAGAGAGAGAAAGGACCTGAGAAAATACTGGAAGAGATTACAGTCAAAAACTTCCCTAACGTGGGTAAGGAAAGAGCCACCCAAGTCCAGGAAGCGCAGAAAGTCCCATATAGGATAAACCCAAGGAGAAACACACCGAGACACACAGTAATCACACTGGCAAAAAATAAAGACAAAGAAAAATGATTGAAAGCAGCAAGAGAAAAACAAAAAATAACATACAAGGGAACTCCCATAAGGTTAACAACTGATTTCTCAGCAGAAACTCTACAAGCCAGAAGGAAGTGGCATGATATACTTAAAGTGATAAAAGGGAAGAACCTACAACCAAGATTACTCTCCCCTGCAAGGATCTCATTCAGATTCTATGCAGAAATCAAAAGCTTTACAGACAAGCAAAAGCTAAGAGAATTCAGCACCACCAAACCAGCTCTACAAACAATGCTAAAAGAACTTCACTAAGTGGGAAACACAAAAGAAAAGGACCAACAAAAACAAACCCAAAATAATTAAGAAAATGGTCAGAGGAACATACATATTGATAATTACCTTAAACATGAATGGATTAAATGCTCCAACCAAAAGACACAGGCATAGAGGGAACCTACCTCAACATAATAAAGGCCATATACGACAAACCCACAGCCAACATCATTCTCAATGGTGAAAAACTGAAAGCATTTCCTCTAAGATCAGACGAGACAAGGATGTCCATTCTCACCACTATTATTCAACATAGTTTGGGAAGCCCTAGCCACGGCAATCAGAGAAGAAAAAGAAATAAAAGGAATACAAATTGGAAAAGAAGAAGTAAAACTGTCATTGTTTGCAGATGACATGACACTATACATAGAGAATCCTAAAGATGCCACCAGAAAACGACTAGAGCTAATCAATGAATTTGGTAAAGTTGCAGGATACAAAATTAATACACAGAAATCTCTTGCATTCCTATATACTAATGATGAAAAATCTGAAAGAGAAATTAAGGAAACGCTCCCATTTACCATTGCAACAAAAAGAATACAATACCTAGGAATAAACCTACCTACGGAGACAAAAGACCTGTATGCAGAAAACTATAAGATACTGATGAAAGAAATTAAAGAGGATACCAACTGATGGAGAGATAGACCATGTTCTTGGGTTGGATGAATCAATATTGTGAAAATGACTCTACTACCCCAAGCAATCTACAGATTCAATGCAATCCCTATTAAATTACCAATGGCATTTTTTACAGAACTAGAACAAAAAAACCTTAAAATTTGTATGGAGACACAAAAGACCCCGAGTAGCCAAAGCAGTCTTTAGGGAAATAAACGGAGCTGGAAGAATCAGACCCCCGACTTCAGACTATACTACAAAGCTACAGTAATCAAGACAATATGGTACTGGCACAAAAACAGAAACACAGATCAATGAAACAAGATAGAAAGCCCAGAGATAAACCCACGCGCCTATGGTCAACTAATCTCTGACAAAGGAGGCAAGGATATACAATGGAGAAAAGACAGTCTCTTCAATAAGTGATGCTGGGAAAACTGGACAGTTACATGTAAAAGAATGAAATTAGAACACTCCCTAACACCATATACAAAAATAAACTCAAAATGGATTCGAGACCTAAATGTAAGACTGGACACTACAAAACTCTTAGAGGAAAACATAGGCAGAACACTCTTTGACATAAATCACAGCAAGATCTTTTCTGATCCACCTCCTAGAGTAATGGAAATAAAAACAAAAATAAACAAATGGGACCTAATGAAACTTCAAAGCTTTTGCACAGCAAAGCAAACCATAAACAAGACGAAAAGACAACCCTCAGGATGGGAGAAAATATTTGCAAACGAATCAATGAACAAAGGATTAATCTCCAAAATATATAAACAGCTCATGCAGCTCAATATTAAAGAAACAAACAACCCAATCCAAAAGTGGGTAGAAGACCTAAATAGACATTTCTCCAAAGAAGACATACAGATGGGGAAGAAGCACATGAAAAGCTGCTCAACATCACTAATTATTAGAAAAATGCAAATCAAAACTACAGTGAGGTATCACCTCACATCAGTCAGAATGGGCATCATCAGAAAATCTACAAACAACAAATGCTGGAGAGGGTGTGGAGAAAAGAGAACCCTCTTGCACTGTTGGTGGGAATGTAAATTGATACAGCCACTATGGAGAACAGTAATGGAGCTTCCTTAAAAAACTAAAAATAGAATTACCATATGATCCAGCAATCCCACTACTGGGCATATACCCAGAGAAAACCATAATTCAAAAAAATGCATGCACCCCAATGTTCAGTGCAGCACTATTTACAATAGCCAGGTCATGGAAGTAACCTAAATGCCCATTGACAGACGAATGGATAAAGAAGTTGTGGTACATATATACAATGGAGTATTACTCAGCCATAAAGAGGAATGAAATTGGTTCATTTGTTGAGACGTGGATGGATCTAGAGACGGTCATACAGAGTGAAGTTAAGTCAGAAAGAAAAACAAATATCGTATATTAATGCATGTATGTGGAACCTAGAAAAATGGTACAGATGAACCAGTTTGCAGGGCAGAAGTTGAGACAGAGATATAGAGAACAAATGTATGGACACCAAGGGGGGAAAGCCGCTAGGGGGGTGGGGATGGTGGTGTGCTGAATTGGGCGATTGGGATTGACATGTATACACTGATGTGTATAAAATGGATGACTACTAAGAACCTGCTGTATAAAAAAATTAAATAAAATTAAAAAATTTTTTAAAAATCGCAAATAGCTTTTAATGAATCCACATAATCAAGGAAGAACTTTATAGAAGATTTTATAGAGCAAAAAGATAAACTAAAACACAAATAAAATTATTTTTCTACTTGGCTAGAATACTTAAAAGAATCTTTAGTGAGAACGTAAGAGAGAATCTTCAGTGAGACCCCTATTCTCCCTGGTTCTATTTGTCACAAACACTAAGCAGCTCAGAGAAACTGAGACACCAGCCAAACAAAAAGGAATTCACAGGAAGCAAGAGAACAAAAAGAGAAATTATAAAAAGAGAAAAGATAATGGAAAAAAGTAAGCTCTGGGGTACACTGAATTATAATGCAGGAATTACATGATTTTTACTTTATTATACTGAAGGACAACAAACTCACCGCTTCCCAAATTTAATTTTGCTTCTTTCTCTTAATGTTAAAAACTGCCACCTGACAAATGAGTCATAGTAAGGATTAACATCAGTGGTGATGAAGGAACGACGCCAGTCTACCTACAGAAGGAGAAAGGAAAAGGTAATTTTTGAGAAATTTATATGGTCTCTATGAACAGGAATTCCCATGAATCAATTATTTACTCTTCTACTCCTTATTTTCCAACTTAAAATTATATCAAAAATATCAAAGGAAACCAAAAAATTTCAAGTTCCACCTATTAAATATATAATACGTCATAATTATGTTAATTTGTGCTTAATATGTAAGTTTTTAAACACACACATTTACCTATTAAACATATAGGAATTATAATAAATTAAGAAGGAGCATTTACATAACACCTTTATGTATCCCTCAATATTCAAGCTACACTTGGGCTTCTTCTTATCTTTTTTTTTTTTTTTTTTTTTTTTTTGAATTATAGTTTTATTATGATGTTGGCTTCTTCATATTATTTGAATAGAATTCCTTTCTACTAATTGTTAATATATGTATATACATTCCAAAACAACAAATATTGAAGTACTTCATTGCTTACATTGAGGCCCATGTGGTTCTAATCTGACAATAACAGTACTGAGTCATTACTGGAATATACTATTCTAAATTAAGAGGTAGTCCAAATCTCATTCAATCACACAAATATAATGTATTTTTCATATTTCCTTAAACTCTGGGGGTGATGGGCATACCTTCAAACCCATTCTCTTCAGATCCTGAACAGCCAGTGGTGGGAAATAGTCAAGCCAATATTCTGCTTCAGAAAATTTAACTACCTCTTCATCAGACAGACCAAGGGATTTCATAATGTCCCACTGGTATTTAGAAGATCCAGCTTTAGCAGTAGCTTTACTCTGAAAATAACAGCAAAACCAAACTCCATCAAAGAATAACTAACAACTGGTTAACAAATTCCAGGACCACAGTAATTTTAAGTGAATAATCCTATTTGGTAGTTTTTTTAAATCTAAAACAATACTGTTGACATGTCAGAATAGTGCGGGATCTGGATGTACTGTTCTGTTTGCCAAACCATATAGTCTGATACCTGGATTCTGACACCAAAGATAACTACCAATACAGAGGTGGAACCATAAAAAGTTATCATCACAAAGATAAGATCTTAGCACCAAACCTTCTCTATTTCCTTTTTTCAAATACCACATGCACCTTTTTTAGTTATGAATAAGCTGCTAACAAGAGTTTCCTCCTTTTCCAATATTTACCAATATCAAAAAGGTAACCACATGCCAGGGACTGGAGGTAGGCAAAAAGGCTGAATTATAAAAAGGTAGGACAAGGAATCCGGGGGCTGAGGAAACTGTTCTGTATAGTACTGTGGTGGTAGAAACATGACTCCATGCACTTGTCAAACCAACACAACGATACACTGCGAAGAGTGAGAGAGAGATGGAGGAAAGGAGGGAGGGAGGGAAGAAGGGAGGGAGGGAGGGAGAGAGAGGAAGGAAGAAAGGAAGGGAAGGAAGACGGGAGGGAGGGAGGGAGGGAGGAAGAGAGGAAAGGAAAGGAAAGGAAAGGAAAGGAAGGAAGGAAGGAAGGAAGGAAGGAAGGAAGAGTTTACATTAATTAAAAAAAACATTTAAAAAATATAAAGAAATTTTTTATAATGTATAAAGAAATAAATACAGACACGTACATATAAGTGGGTTAGTAGACATACATATATTTCCTTGCTCCTTCTACTGAGAGGACCTAGAAACAATGAGCATAACTAGCACTCAGAACTTAGTTTCTAAATACCATATTTCAATAAAAGGAAAGAGGACTCCTTGGAAAAGTGGTTGACTCTGGGGTTAAAACAGGGAAAATACAAAATGAGCCTGGAGCATCTTGTGGCACCTGAATGTATAGAAGTGCTCAAAAAGAAAAAAAAAAGAAAAGAAAAGAAAAGAGAAAGAAAGAAATAGAAAAGAGAAAAAAAGATGGGGGCATGTCAAATGGACACAGGAGCCCACTAAAAGATTCCCCCAATGGCCATTGCTAGAACAATCTGAGCAATAACAATAACTCAAAAAAACCCAATAGGATTAGATTATAACCCAAAGAATAAATATGCATGAATCCACACTGATATAAAAAAGAAATTAATAGATAAGTAAATGAGGGAGAAAGAACAACATTTCCTTTCAGAAGAATTCCAGATAATAAATATAGAAGGAATGAGGGAAACTGAAAATCACCATTAGAACAAAATATGCAGCAATAACCGCTGTAGGGAAGATCCAATGATGAATGCTAAAATTAGTGAGCAAATATATAAAAAGAAACAAGATATTGGGACTTCCCTGGTGATCCAGTGGGTAAGACTCCACACTCCCAGCACAGGGGGCCCGGGTTCGATCCCTGGTCAGGGAACTAGATCCTGCGTGCATGCCACAGCTAAGAGTTTGCATGTCACAACTAAGAGTCCACATGCCACAACTAAGAAGCCCGCATGCCACAACTAAGAAGTCCGCATACCACACACAACTAAAAGATCCTGCATGCCACAACGAAGATCCCAAGTGCCACAACTAACACCCAATGCAGCCAAAATAAATAAAAATCTTTAAAATATAAAGTATACAATGCAATGGTTTAAAAACAAAAAAAGAAACAAGGTATTATTTCCATAGCCTCAAAGTATCTCTCTCAAAACATACATGAATTACAAAGGGAAAAATAAAATCTTCACAGGAGAAAGACCTAACAGACACCACCCAAACCAAATAATCAAGGTTAACAGCACCAGTAATAAGATATATCAATATCTTATACTCCCTCATATGATGCACTGAAGACACATCACCTCTCAATCTACTCATGAGAAAGCATTAGACAAACCCAAAATGAGGGACATTCTATAAGTTATCTGACCAGTACTCTTCAAAAGTGCCAAGATCATGGAAGACAGAAGAAGAGACATGAGAAGGAAATGCAAAATGGGATTTTGGACTGGATCTTGGAACAGAATAAGGATATTAAGGAAAAACTGTTAAATCCAAATGAAGTATGTATTTTCTTAAACAGTATTGTTCAATGTTGGTTTCTTAGTTTTGAGAACTGTACCATGGTTATATAAGATGTAACTGGGTTAAGATTCTAAGAGAACCCTGTACAATCCTGTAATTCTTCTGTAAGTCTAAAATTATGTCAAAATAAAGTAAAAAGGGGAAAAAAAGGCAATCAAAAAGTGAGAAAGATAATTCTGCTTTATTACTTTTTAAAAATTACTGAGTATTTTTTATGTGTCAGGTACTATGCTAGTACTGGGAATGTACATATAAATCAGACAAATATAGATATAAAACTTCAACCAAAATAAGTATGATCAAACCACCAAACCTTTTTTCCTTTAGCTTTATCCTTAATTATTATATCTTCTGTTTTAATACTGATTTCTTCTTCCTCTTCCTCATCTGGAAAATCAGGGGGGCAACCATAAAGCTCTATTTCTCTTTTCAATTTATCAGCACATGCCTACAAAAAAACACATTAGAGATGGTAAAGTTAAAAATTCAAGGTGGAAACAATTTGAGTTTTGTTGTTTCTATGGCCAACTAAAACTGACTCTGGGGCTTCCCTGGTGGTGCAGTGGTTAAGAATCCGCCTGCCAGTGCAAGGGACACGGGTTTGAGCCCTGGTCCGGAAAGATCCCACATGCCGCGGAGCAACTAAGCCCCTGTGCCACAACTACTGAGCCTGCACTCTAGAGCCCTCGTGTCACAACTACTAAAGCCTGCATGCCCACAACTACTGAAGCCCACGTGCCTAGAGCCCGTGCTCCATAACAAGAAAAGTCACTGCAATGAGAAGCCTGTGCACCGCAATGAAGAGCAGCCCCCGCTCGCCACAACTAGAGAAAGCTCGCGCACAGCAATGAAGACCCAACACAGCCAAAAATAAATAAATAAATAAATAAGTTTATTTAAAAGAAAAACCTGACTCTGAAATTTAGGTAGATAGGACAGACATTAAGTTAGAATACAAATACTGAAAGATGAAGGGATTTATCCAAGGTTATAAAGCTAGTAAGCTGCAGAATTACAAAATGAACCTGCACTTTCAATCCCAGCTCTTTTCAGCTGTACCATGAGTCCACTGTCACAAACAAAGATGACACCAAGTAGACAGTGTTAAAGTTATGAGAAAAATACAAATATAGAACTGTGAATTTCAAAAAAGGGAGGGGAGGGCTTCCCTGGTGGCGCAGTGGTTGGGAGTCCGCCTGCCGATGCAGGGGATGCGGGTTCGTGCCCTGGTCCGGGAAGATCCCACATGCCGCGGAGCGGCCAGGCCCGTGAGCCATGGCCGCTGAGCCTGCGCGTCCGGAGCCCGTGCTCCGCAACGGGAGAGGCCACTGTTGTGGCCTCTCCCGTTGCGG